TGCAGATAGATTGAAGGCGAATTTCCCAGAAGAAAAATTTAGTTTCTTCATTGACAATTTTTTTACAGGACTGCCATTGATAAAAAAATTAAGCGAAATGCATTATGGATGTACGGGGACTATAAGACAGAACAGACTACAGAAATGTCCCCTAAATAAAACCACAATGAAGAAATCTCTTAGAGGTTCTATGGACTCATATATTATAAATTCCACAAAAGATGTCATTGTTATGCAATGGAAAGACAATAACATAGTGCATGTGGGCTCTAACTGCTTTGGTGTGCATCCAACAAAAGCAGCACGTCGTTATTCGGCTGCTGAAAAAAAATATATTATGGTACAGATGCCCCATGCAATTCATCAGTACAATACCCACATGGGTGGTACATATTTGATGGATCGAAATATTTCCAATTACCTGCCAAAATTGCGTAATAATAAATGGTGGTGGCAGATTTTTATACACCTTTTATGTGCGTCGGTTTCTAACGCATGGATTTTATATCGGATTTCAAGAGATATGAGAAAAAAGCAAACCAATACAAGTGAATTTGTAGAAAACTCTCGTTCCCTAGATTTACTAGGGTTTATCAGATACATCGTTTCATCGTACTTACTTCTAACCTCCCGAGAAAAAAGACAAGAAAGAAATAGTTCAACTGCACTGTTTCGTAATGTTCCTGAAGCCGTTTCAAGAAATATGTCAGTTCTGCATTACCCGAGCAGCATCAAACAAAATAGATGTAAAGTATGCAAAAAAAATACTACATTCGGTTGCGGTATATGCAAAATTAATGTACACCCACTAGATTGTTTTAAATTATTTCATGAAAGAGTTTCTCCATTGGTGCAAAATGAGTTGAAATAACAAATAAATACAGTGTTCAATAATTTTCTTTTTAATACTGCCTAATGTACCTTTATCTGACCAAGTTCCAAATTTGGAACAATCTGTTTTTTTCCTACTGTGGTCTACAAATTAAAAATTATTTTTTTTTAACATTTTTCAATTAATCAAAGACCTAAACTGTAAATAAAAATGAAACAAAAATTAATTTATAAAGTTTGGCATCGAATGGGTTAATTAATCGAACTTTTGCACATCAAGTTGGATTTTTTTCTCGAAAATGGTTGAGTTTGGGACCAATGTCACATAATGTTTTTTTTGTTTATTTTTATGTATTCTATCGTTTATTAAAATTAAGGCAGTCAAACTTTTAACCCTGTGTATATTTTGTATGTAAAGTAATTTAGAAATAAATATTTGTATGCAAAATTAGTTGTAGTTATATTTTTAAATTTATTTTGAAATAAATTCGTACCTTTCGAATGTATTAATTCGAATATCCCCTTTATTATTATTTAACGAAAACAGTATTAGCTTTAAATCTTGCTTCAATATGTTGTGATAAAATATCACATTTTTTTTATTTTTCCGTATTCGAATTATGTTATCAAATCACCTGTTGGTATTTTGACTTGCCGTTTTAGAGAATGTCATATTCCGTTTAGAAAATAAATTGCGGAAAACGTTCTAAACACATGCAATGACATTTATTTTCTCCGCGAGTTTTCAGTCCACAGAAGATAAAAGTCTTCTAGGGCGTAGTTTATCACAATTTCATGTTTATCCCTCAAATTTAAAAATTTACGCTCTCGACGTGCTAGATGCACATCTAATAGTTTTATTACTCCACCACTCCCAACTAAAACAACCTATAAACTTTCTCAAAAGAAATTTATTACCCGGGGCATTATACCTACAAACTTCGGTTAAATTTTTGGTGTTCGCCAAAATTATGATGACAGCTAAGTGTGAGAACACAACAAGAACTTTGACAAATATAACTACGATTGCTTGGTAGTGTAGAGATTTGTTGTTTAGGAGCAAGGATATTCACTGTGCTTCCTGGCGTACAGTCGTCCTTCCGGTCGCATTGTCCTGGATTTATGTCCTGGCCGCGTACATTGTCCTGCTATCCTGTCTGTCTGGTGCACACATAATGGCCGCAATGCAGCTTCACAACTTGTTCCAGCCTAACCTGAGCTAACCTCTGCGTGTACAACCGAAGAAAAACGTTTTGTGGACTTTTTAAATAATGGCTTTCTTATCGAAGTCCAGCAACTAGTTACTAGATTTTTGTCTGAATATAATTCCTGGAGTACATTATACAGGATGTTCCATAAGTACATTCCAATAATAAACGCTACTACTGTTTAAATTATTGTAATGGAAAGGTTCCCATGCCCACATATCATAAACGGCTTAGTTTCCGGATGTGGGGTGTTACTTTATCGACACAAATATCTCGAACACTCGGTTTATATGCTTCCTTAGTTTTGTCAGTGGATGAACATTGCTACGATCCCGGGGATTTTCATTAACACAATTTTTCTCTTAGGGTTTTAATATACAGGAGGAGTGGAGAGATCGCACCAAAGTCCAGCAATGGATTCTTCACTTCAAAATAGTAAAAAAAACTCAAATATTTTTGTGCAATTTTAATTTGTTTTCAAGTTATGGAGTAATTACAAATTTTAAAAATTTATAATCAGAATATGTTGTGTTCCAAGTTAAAAGTAGGATATTTGTCAGTGTCATTTTATGTTGCAATAATTTAACATTTCATTACACGTTTGTACAATCAAAGTGTTACAAAACGCCAAGAACTTATTTAAAAAAGTATGGTGTTTGTTTATTAACCCAGTCAAAGTAGCTCAAAAAATAGAGGTAAGCTTACAATAATTCGCATAAAGCTGAAAATTGGTACGAATGTCATTATAAATGAAATGTGAAGTCTCTATCGATCCCACATCTGCAAAAAAATATAGTTCGCAAATATTTTTAGCATTTTTCAGCCAAACGATAAGTTTTATCATAAAAATATGTCAGACAAAAATTGTAGATCATGTAGTTATCTATAAAAAATGTACTTACACTTCTTTCCTAAGAATCACCATTTCTGAGAAATAGCGATTCAAAAAGTTGAAATAGTTGTGTTCTCCATAATATGATAATTGAAACAGCAATAGAACAATTCAACTCAACAAATACGACTATTGTTGTTGGTGAAGATTTATTGGTATTACTTACTGCTCGAACTCCAGCCGAAACAATTATCTATTTTTTAAAACCTGGAAAGGCTCAACAGCGATCTGAAATATATTCATCCAAAAGTTTATCTGCTTTTTCAAAATGCCAAAATCACATACTATTTTTACACGCAATAATTGGCTGCGATACGACATCAGCTATTTTCAGGAGGGTTAAAACAACAGTTTTTAAATTGTTTGAAAAACAAGATTTAGTTAATTGTGCTAAAGTTTTTAAAAAGAGTGACTGTACTCAACAAGCTATAATTACCAACGGAATTCGCTTTCTTCTTTCTGTATATGGAGCGCCAAAAAAATTTCCTGCTTAGATAAGTTTCGATACTTATATTTTGTAAAAAATTACTCGTAACAATAAACGAGTGTAATTAGCTTGTCTTCAAGTGTGGCTTGGTAATCAACTGGACCCAGAAGACTGGAGTTAGATGTTAATCCAATTCAGACTTTACTCCCACCTGCAGCGGACAAACTCCTTAATACAATTTTTTGCAATTGCAAAAAGAGGTGTAGTGCTAAGTGCGGCTACAAAAAAGTTGGATTATTTTGTTCCTTAGCATGTACCAGTTGTCAAGGCCAGTCGTCCTTCAATGTTGAATCGCCATCAGAAGAGGATTCTTATCATATCAGCGAGGAGACATCTGATGCATCGCTATTAGAACAATTTACTTGTATCCAGCAGGAAGAAGAGGAAGGAAGAGAAGAAGAAGAAGGAAGAGAAGGAAAAGATATTGCACTTGAAGTTCCATTAGATAATTTTTATCATTTCCAATAGTACCATTTTTTATTTAATACAATATTATTTAATTAAACAGGACCACAATAGATCGTGGAATCGGCCTACCGGGGAAACCACGTTAAAAAAACGCGCCAAGTACACTACCTCACAGGTGGCGCGGCATGGAAACGTGTGCATATTATGGAGAACACAACTTTTTCAACTTTTTGAATCGCTATATCTCAGAAATGGTGATTCTTAGGAAAAAAAGTGTAGTTAATTTTTATAAATAATTGCATGATCTACAATTTTTGTGCGACTTATTTTTATGATAAAAATTACCGTTTGGCTGAAAAATGCAAAGAACCCATATTTGGGTTCAAGAACTTTGACCTTGAATAATTTTTTTTGCAATGTGGGATCAATGGGGACTTTTCACATTTCATTTATAATGGTGTTCCCAACATTCGTACCAATTTTCAGCTTTATACGAATTATTGTAACCTTGAATATCTATTTTCACCAGGGTATATGGTTTTTGTAATGGATGTGTTGAAGAATATCGTGAACGGTTTCTACATTACAGATGTCTTGAAAAAAATGTATTATTAGAGTTTTCAATAAACTGTGCGAAACCTCAAAGCTTCCCAGTGCAAGTATAATATCTTAACTAGCTCATCGACAAGATTTAGAAATAGAAAATATTCCGGGTCTAATAGAAGATTATGCAGCTCACGAAGAAATGCTACTCAATTGGGTATTCACAAAAAAGTAATAAAAACTCTCCACGAGTAAGACCAATATCAATACCATTTACAAAGAGTACAACACCTACAACAGGGAAATTACGCTAAGCGTATCGAGTTTTATCGATGGATCAATGTCCATCCATCCTGTTGTATCCTGCATACTTTTTACGGATGAAGCAACTTTCACCCGTGATGGCATAACTAATATTAGGAACTCTCATGTAAGGTCAGATGAAAATCCTTACGCAACACTCGAAAGTAATTTTCAGCTAATTTTTTCGGTAAACGTGTAGTGTAGTACTATCGATAGTTATTTGACTGACCCTTTCATTTTGGAAAATCGACCTACTGGAGACCACTACTTAAATTTTTTACAAAATTAATTACAAGTACTACTAGAGACTGTTCCTCTGAACATGAAAATGCGAATATACTACTGGGATGATGGGGCTCCTACACATGTCGCTCTAGTAAGGAGAGGTTTCCAAGGCGGTGGATTAGCAGCGGTGGTCCTATTAGATGACCTCCAAGATCTCCAGACCGCAGAGTACTAGATTACTGTTTATGGGAATGGTTATAACATTACCTATCATTGTCACGGACTACCATATAACATTGTCCATAAGTAAATATCCCCTCTCGGCCTAATTAGTGAGATTTTGTTAAAATACCTATACGCATTTTGGAACCGATATGTGAAAATATATTGCAAATAAAACTAAAAAAAGAGGTCTAACAATTACAAGATATTTTATTTTCTTATTAAAAAACTTTCTTTTCGTTTTTTAAAATTATCTCGCTTATTGTTAGAGATGGATTCAACAAACCCTATATGACTATGCTCGACAGGGAACGTTTTATCCAAATATGTAAAAATGTACAGGGTGACCATTTTGTTTGCACTTCATTTGTTTTACTACTATCATTTTCGAAAATTTCATAAAAAATCGTGCAACTTTTATATTTCACATTTTTTTATAGCTTTAGAAACAAAAAAGTTATTGGGGGGGACAAAATATAGTGAATCACCCTGTACTTGTAACCACTACATTTTCATCAGTGGCAAATTATGTAAATCTTTCTATATTCCTGTACATCTTTAGTACATCCCATCTAGAAATCTTAAAGTGATCCTAGGCCACCCCCAGGGTGGCTACCATAAATCTACAGCTACTCCTCCTTCCATTTTCAGATTAATTAATTTTACAATATAATACCAACGAAAAACTTATAAACTATTTAATTCTGATAGATATAAAAGGCATTTAATAAATGTTTATAAAATTACCTAAAGCTTAAAAGCAGATTTGATACTTATGTTGCAGACAAACTTCAAAACTGCAGAACTAAAGCGATGAGTAAACCCCTTGGGGATTTAAAGAAGCAGTGCCTTCATCATGCCCGCGAAATGCTAGTTCTTGTTTACTTATATACATAACAGCATCTGAGGGAATTTGCATAAAGCTAACGTAAAGACCTAATATTTTCATTTAGGTCTGGTTTTTTCGCCTTCTATTAATTTTATTTCCAAATTAAATCTTTATAATACTCATAAAAAAAATAAGTATAAGAAAATGACTCACATCAATTGAACTGACAAATAAATTTATTGGAAATGGGATGGTTAACCAAATCAGATTTGCTTTTTGCGATATAGGTGTATTTACTTAAAGTTTTAATGAATTCTACAGAATGCTTATAAAACCAAAAAAAAAAACATTCTCAGAGGTAGGCTATAAGCATATAACACCAGATTTAATATCAATAGTAAATATATACATGGGGGAAAAAAAATTATCAATTAAAAAGTTGGAAAAGCTTTTACATGTTTTTAAAATGTGGACATTGCCATTAAATATCAAAAAGGATATCGGACAGATGTTCTCCACTACTCATTTGGCATACTTCTTTTGCCTTTAATCAGGAATAGTATTCATTTGAGTAAAATAAACATTGAACTTTACTAGTCCTCATAGGAAAAAGTTTCATGGCCAAGTCACTTCACTGTTGCGTGAGATGAGTTGTCCATTAAATTTCTGCCGTAACAAGTAGATAGGTACACGTACCGTATGGTAGGTAATACCATCCTACTGGAACTACATGTCATCCAAATCCATGCCCTCCAAATGAGGTTACAAAAATTTCGATAGCATCTCGCGATATCGTTCTCTATTGACAGACACTGCACCAATGTAAAATCCACACCACACTATCACTCTTTTTTACAGTGGTCGTTCTTGAAAGACCCAAGGATTCTCTCTGCCCCAAATTCGACAGATTGCTTCTTCACATACCCACTAATAGAGATGAAAATACGCCTCGTTACTAAAGATGATTTTCTTAGCATCTCAGCGTCAACTTGTTGATTCGCCAACAAATCAATAAATGTCGGGTGCATTAATTGGTCGTCTGGTGTCAATGGGTTAGCTGAATCTTAACCCTTAACCGCTGACCTTCCTTTTCCGAACACTTTGACTGACATTGAGTCTCTCAGACTCCAATTTAAAAAAAATCTAGCCTTTTTTTAAATTTTCAAATATTGTGATGAAATTATAAACACTGCTATATATGCAATATATTAATTTGATTATAAATAATAAAAGTGCATTACACTAAGAAAAATGCAAAAATATAAAGATTTATTAAAAAAATAACAAGTTTATATAATTTTTAATAAATTTAAATATCAAAATAAAATAAAAAATTTAAGTCTATATTTTCGTTTAATAAAACTTAGCTTATAGTAAAAACTAAAGAAATGACTTCCAAACTCAAAAATAACAATTCGTGCAGAGGGTCAAATCAGTCATCGGAATCATCAGGGTTGCTACAATTGATACAGCATATCCTTGAGCACTGCAAACAAACTGTTTTTTTTTGCATATGATGCACATGTAAGATGTTTTTCTATGTATACGGGATGGACAAATGCAGCCCTATTATTTCCATTAGAATCACTGGCTTCCCCTTCTTCATCACCTCTTCTTCCTTTTCAGTATCTTCTCATCCTTCTTCCTCATCACTTACTTCCTGTTCACTTTCTGAGTCGTAATCGCTTGGTATATAAACGTCATCGTCAAGTTCAATATCGCTTCCTTATACCATTGCATATAAATTTCTTCAAAATCTGGTTCGGAATAATTAACGGTTTTGCGAGAACTAGTCATGTTTATTTATATTGTTTTCTTACATAAATACTGGCACGAAGTCTACCAGACACCGCGATGTTAACGGCCAGTACGAGATGGTCAACCTGTATTTTTATTGTTTGCAACCGAATCAGTTTCCTCAAATTTGGCAACTAGTCTTTTTAGTTGTTTCATTCGGAGCGTTCCTTCAACCGAAAATTCCACTTAATTTGCTGACAGTCTCAGCTACACACTCTCCGTACTTGCAATGAATTTTCACAATTTTCACTAGTTCATCACTGCAGCACTGTTTTATAATTAATTAAAAGTAACCTAAATGCAGGTACAAATCTAAGAGGTAAATAATAATTACCTACATCGCCCAAAAAGACAGAACTGAATTTTTTAATTTTAACAGTGCAATATTTTAATAACACGAAAAAAATTTAAAATAAATCTTAACAACTTATACCATTTTAAAGGTTGTAATAACAAAGATACCAGTGGTGTAACATCTTTCCAAAATTGCGACACTACGGTCCGGTCATACCTGTAATATTCTCTACAGAAGGAAAATAATGGCTGTTATGATAAGAAAACATAATTCTTTTTATAGACACGTCGCCGTCGTCTTATTTTAATCTTTTCACGATGTAATTTAAGTACTTTTAATAGAGTGTGTATTTATACAGGGTGATTCAGGTTTTAAGGCACAAACTGAAATGGGTGATAGATCTTATGATTTTAAGCAAAAAAGTTTGTATAAACATGAGTCCGATCTCGATCAGTAGCGGAGCTACAGGGAGTCAAAGTTTATTTATTTTTTTCTATTAATTAAAATATCTCGCTCACTTTTCAAAATATCAATTTAAAATTTGGTGTGGTTAATACTTCCTATAAGGACATCATTTCAAACATTTTAAAGATTTTTTAAATCTACAGGGTGATACGTTTTTGGGGGGTTGAGGCTTCTTTATCCCCCCCAAACTTTTTCGTAGTACGCCTCTGACATCTTCCAGTTAGCAAATTGGGTGGCTAGTTCAATTTAGAAGGTTTTTTTGCTTTTCAATTTTGTTCGAGAAAACAACCGTTTTCGAGATAAATAAGCATATCCGTTCTAAAACATGTTAATTTTGCCTGTTCCGCTTAAATTTTATTCTTGGACAAAATTCGTTAAAAATGCAATAAATTGTACTAAAATTGCAATGTTTTTAAACATGAGTCGAATTTGGATCAGTAGCGGGGATCGATACAGAAGGTAGAGGATCAAGTTGTTTTAAGGTTTTAAAGTTGGTTAAATGGTTCATACATACATTTTACCATTTTTTATTTTAATTAATAGAAAAAAATAAATAAACTTTGACCCCCTGTAGCTCCGCTACTGATCGAGATCGGACTCATGTTTATATAAACTTTTTTGCTTAAAATGATAAGATCTATCACCCATTTCAGTTTGTGCCTTAAAACCTGAATCACCCTGTATATTTTTGTATTACTCTGACAAAAATTATAGTTACATCTACCAATATCATTCATTTTCTCTTTAAATTATAAATCCGCATTAATACAGAGACCTTTGGAAGCCGAAGGAGGAAAGGAAGAAGATAATTTAAAAATTGCATAAAGGAGGTAAATATCCCCTTCGCCTTTAATCTGCTGAAAAATGAAACGTCGGGAACCGGATTTAAAGAGGCTAAAACTACACGGAGTATCCAAAACAAAATGCGAAGAGTGCGACGCAAACGTAAACATAAGGCAATAACAAGTGACTTTTATTTGAAGCTTGTAATGTAAAGAAGATCGGGAGAGAGCGCGGAATACTAATTTATCTGCAGATCGATAGCGGGGCCTTGTTGAATGTATCCTTCCTGGGGGTGTTTTCACAAATTTAACTTGGGAATATGTAGAAAGTAGATTTTGTTTTCTCGGATACATAAAATATACGTGTTTTGTTGAGGCCAATCTGTTCTCGGGGCATTGAGATGCTACCAGAAAATTGATTAATTGAATGTATTGATAAACTACTGTCTTCAAGGTAAATATATCAGTTCAATTTAAAGGTTCAACGTAATGAATACAATAACATTACTTATTTAGATGTATTATGTATTATGATAATAAATATACTGATTTAATAAAAATATACAGCATATCGCTAGTGCATTTCCGATTTTACTCAACATTCGAATCTGATCTATAAACTCATTTACGGTGTTCGTTCGCGAGGAAAATCCAGCTAAAAGAAGTTACCCATGTTTGGGGGCAACTGACCGACTATTAAGGAGGTTTATCTGATTTGGAATTGACGAACAAATATTCATAAAAAAATTAATATAAGCTTATTAATATGAAGAAAACCCTCAAAAAAGACGAGATATTAATAAAATAATTTTTCACGATTTAGTACAGGGTGATGATT